GATGCACCGTTCAAATTAAGTTATGTGTGCCACCGATCTAAAGGTGTATATCCAAATAAATAAATAAAATAAATAAATACTGTAAATGTTATGAAGTCCATGAAAGTAAAACACAACCAAAACAGACGCCCCTTTTCACAATTAATGCTTCTGCTCTACTTACCATTTTATGGGCGGAAGTATAGAACTCATTCTTCACCTGCTCATGAAAGAAGCATGTGCTCTAACAAATGGTAGGCTATAATATCAGCTTATGGCAACTAAAATGCATGCTTCAGATTCGATGATAATAACAGAGTACAATATAGTGAGACACTACGACTGTGGGTTTCATTGCTATACCACAAGCGCAGTCACTCATTCAGCTCAGCAACAAGTGCTTACAAGGACCAGCGGCGCGGCGTACCGAGAACATCTAGGAACTCAGAAAGGTGGATCGAGCTACCGGACCCATGACATGCTAAGGCTGATTTCCTTGCTTTATCAATGCGCTCTACGAATGGCTTTTCTATGATAAAATAAAGCTGTATCACATATGCTGCACTGCTTATGAATGCTTACCTAAATTATTCCAAAAATGATTTTTTTTTCCTCTTGCACTAGCTCACAACTAGCGTTGCCAACTTACTATTGTTGTCTGCGAAAGGCGGAAGTAAGCGTTTTTCCAGATCTTATCGGTCGGCCGTCGTTTCAATTTGATGAGCGCCCTCAAGACGTAACTTAATTCGCCCCGAATTCGAGCAAAGATTTTACAGATGCTTCTGTTCCAAATCCTCAAACGGGTTCAAGGCTAGAATTCCTTTAATAGATCTGCTAGCCTTTTTAAATTTCAAACTTTGTTTATTGACTATTGTTGTTGTTCATGGTACTATGGTGTCTCAAGATAGACTTCAAATGACTCCAACGAGCTCGGAAATAAGGTTTAGACTCGTTTTGGGACAGGCACCACGGATATCACCTCACACTCCTTCAAATTATTTGCTGGATTTTACCATTTGTAAACAGAGTTTTACAACTTAAAATTTAACATTGTTCATGGCAAATCTCCTTGCAACTAATATGCTTGAAGAATTTTCAAAAGTTCCAGATAGACATCAATACCGGTATATCAGCCGGGAAAGAATATCCGATTTTCAAATTCCCAAGCACTGAAAATTCAATCAGCCTCTGTTTTCATAATAGTATTTAAATCCTCTGGAACAGCATGCCTACTTTTGATGTTAGGTCAACATTTGAAAGGCATGTCATAAAGTTTCTTTAATGAAAAGTAAATGAAACAAACAAACAAACAAGAAGTCAGAGTTCCAAAAGGGGTTTTTTTTCAGTTTAAAAAAAATGATTGCATAAAGTATACGATAACTTAAAGTGGGTACATGTTATGGGTTAGCGTCATCAATGCTTCAATAACTATCCCACTCTCCCCATCCTTTTTTTCATTCTTTGTATGCCATCATTCTGACACTTTTTCTATTCTACACTTATATTGGTTATGGCCACTAGCCTAATAATTACAATTCAGTTTATTGATATTCACCATTATATACAAACAGGTATGATCATAGTAAACAAAAAGAGTCAATATAGAAGGCAAATAAAAAGCAACATAAAATAAATTTGTCGGTCGTTTGAGGATGTATGCCACTCCAGCCTCAAGAGGGCCTCAAGAATCATCGCCTTTTAAAGGCCGATCTTACAAATTCAAGACCGGCTCGATAACATTTGACATGGGTACAGTATTTGCACCCATAATATAAGGAAGGTTTTCATTATTTAGCATACTAAAGATTATTTCGGGTTCCGTAAATATTTCTTCTTAATATGAATTGTGAGTGGACTTTTCTTTTTTTTTTCCTGTTAATGGGCATGGGTTTATTGGTTTTAATATTTGATAAAAATAAAAGAATGTTAATATTCTTGTAAATAGGCATGGAATATGTTGAAAATAATGTTGCGTTTATTCCAAATGAGGCTTGATGGGTGTTTCTTCGAGGAGGGGGCATTCATTCAAAATAGCCGGCATTTATTTGAATAACTATGGTATGAAAATAGCAGATGAGAAAAATTTCTGGTTTATGCGTAACAATAGAAGCGTCGATTTACAGTGCGCCCTATGGTTACAACAAATAACGACAATTGGCGTGCCTATCTTTTTTTATTAAATTCTTAAATGTGAATTTAAATATGCTGTCATTATAATCACCATTAACCTCGGGCAGATGCAGAATTTGCGGTAGGGGGTGCATGAAAGGGAACAGATCTGTTTTGAAAAGGGGACATTTTGTGGAAATAATATATGTAAATGGTCAGAAATGACACTTATATATAGGCCTAAAATTCCTGTCTCTTATACACATCTAGATGTGTATAAGAGACAGGTGCCACCGATCTAAAGTCATGCGCAGAACATACACTTTTGGACTTAGTTTTTCGAATCGTCGATCCGAAAGCTGTCTCTTATACACATCTGAGCATTCCAAAGAAAGACAGAAGCCCAAGAGAAAGAACGACTACCATAATGCTTTGTCGACGGGCGAGTGGAATGAGCAAGTAGAGACTCTGAACTAGATCTCAGAGACCTCTTAGGAATGTAAGGAGGAATGAGTTGTGAAATAAACATTGGCGAGGAATTATGAAGTGCTTTGAAAACAAATAATAAAATCTTGTAAGTAATTCTCTGTGTTACAGGAAGCCAATGAAGGTGCGTTAACACAAGAGTGATATGATCCCTAATTGGGCTTAAAGTGACCAAACGGGCAGCTGCATTCTGAACTCGCTGAAGTTTTGAAATATCCTTAGCTGGCAATCCATAAAGCAATGAGTTACAACAATCCAGCCTTGATGTTACAAAGGCATGAACGAGAATCTCTGTCAATTGACCGACCACAAATTCTGTTATTGGCGTTTCACAGTGGCGTTCAACGGCTATGAGCTCTCACTGGCTAAAGCCACTGTACTGTAAGCCAATATATAGTCATGATGTGCCCATATATGGTCAAGGTATGACATCATCATGACCATATTTAGACATGTCACATGTTTTTGTCAAATAAAATGTGATAGTCTGCACAGGAAATTAGTTCTGTTGATTAAGAAGAAAAAAAGACAGGCAGTCAACTTTACAATCAAAACAATTCACATATTTTTATTTCATCATTCACTGCTCTTACCAAGATTTACAATTCTTAAAAAGAGATCCAGAAATACAAAAATTGGGTCTGCTCACTAAACCATACACTGAGATTTAAAAACTTCTTTCACAATGAAATTTTTTTCAGATCATAAATAAAAGTAATATCAAAACACTAAAATTACTATTTCAAACAAAATTTACATGCAGTGCACCATGTACAGCCACTTATAAAATACTACATGTGGAATAAAAACTATTAAAAAAGGGGCATTATCACTTTAGAAGCCTACCGATGTCAGGTCTGAAAACCCACATGTTGAGGTGAGTGGGATTATTGTTTTTGATGCAAGAGTAACCCAGGGTCACAGCATAGGTATCCCACACCCTACATTACATGCTAATACTGAATTCAAATGTGAAAGGAAATATGAAATCTCAATTTCAGAACAAAGAAAAATTATGGTTGAATTTTTGAAGTACAGATAATAGTAAAACATTGTGAAACATGTCTGCGAAATGACAAGACAAATGCTTTTCTATTTCTATAACATAATTGCATCAAAATCTATCAAGCTAAAAGATTTAAATTTTACAACACATTTCTTTCTATTCCCAATTAAAACAATGACAAGTGTTGAGTTTGATTGAGCCACGTCACAACATGCCTATCACAGTATGCTGCAACCCTGCTGACTGTTCTCTGTTCTGCTTTGTAGATACTGTGGCTTGGTGCATGTCTTGCCATATTTGAACATTTCATACAAACACTCTTCCACACGCTCTCTTTTCTGCTTTGTAGATGCTGTGGCTTGGTGCACGTCTTGCCATATTTGAACATTTTATACACTCACATTAACACACTCTCTCTTCCTCTCACTCTTCATTAGTTTTGGTCAATCTGTAAAGAAATAAGACGTTTTATAAATGACTTGTTCACGAAAAAAAAAAAAAAAAATCATATCATTAATGAGGCTCTTTTTTTAATATAAATCATTTTGACGGACAAAAAATAATGAATAAAAAATTATATTAACATCAAAAATTTAGGACAGTGACATAAAATTGGAAAGAAAAAACCAGCAGTGATCCATGTAACATGGGGCTCAACAAAGGAAAAATAGACTTACTAAACACATACAAAAACTATTTAGATAAAATTTAAATTAATAAAAAATAATTTGTAAAGTCAGCAGGAGGAAGCCATATATCTTATTTGACAAATCTGATATATAATTGTAAATTCCCTAAATAAAAAAAAAACTTCTGACACTTGCCTGTGCATTGTAGGCATCTAACTCTGCATCTAATTCTTCTTTGGAAGGTGTCGGTGCATTTTGACCACGTCCACCACCTCGCCCTCTTCCTCGACCTCGTCCACCCCGTCGCCCTCCACCGCTGCCACGATTGCTTCTCTGACCACCTCTTGCATTCTGACTCCTGGGGTTACCACTGTCAATATGACAATATTAGAACAAGGTCATACAGTATTTAACATTAACTAAGTACCTATGCATAATCTAAAGTATCAATGCTTTACCTTAAGGCGAGACTTTTTTATACAGTACCTTGTTTAGTGAAA